ATAGATATATAATGAAAGCGTTAATAATTGCAGCTGGCCTTTCTCCAGTAATTTATCAACATCACAATCAACAATAAATGTTTACCAGTGTCCTTGTCATTGGCATGGCAAGGATAACGAAGATAAACTAGTCGGAACTCATTAGTAGCATCTGGAAGAATAAATAGTTTAACAATGATAACACATAGATATATAATGAAAGCGTTAATAAGTGTAGCTGGCCTTTCTCCAGCAATTTATTGACATCACAATGAACAAAAAATGTCTCCTAGCGTGAATGTATTAACACCCCAATGCTTGTGCCTAACCGCGTACTTCTTGGTGTACACACATTTTCAATGATATAGTTTAATCTATGCTCAAACGCAATAATGAACGTTCTTAATACAACAACAAAAGATCAAATTTTAACTTAAACTTATATATATTTTTCTAAGCAAATAATATTACAAAAATTATGTTAACAATACTATTTTGATTAGAATACTTTTCAGGATATATTTTCGATGTGCCTATTAGATCCTCTCTAGCATCCCTTAATACATTTTCAAAATCGAATTTTATTGTAAAGTGTAGTGAAGAATTGTAAAAAGTTCATTTCTATTTTTTTGTGAATGTTTCCATACAATTAAGGATAGTTTTAATTGCCTCTAATTATTCATTAAAAGTATGTGTCACTTAAATTTCAAATGCAGTTGTCGGAGAATGTATATAGAATGTGAATGTATTCTTTTCTTTTCATAAGAAAACATGAGTTTGAAATGTGAAGTAGAGATGAATTTGTGTATCAGACTTCAAGCATCTAGACCCATGTATATAGATATAATAACAATATTGAAATTATGTTTATATTAAGCACAATGTTTCAATTTTGCAGTAGTTACTCAAAGTTTATTTTTATTTTGTTATTTGGTTAGATATATTAAACAATTATGGTGGTGTACCATTTCAATGCTGCTTATTTAATAAACGATCTAGATAACATAATATTTGAGCTTTATTAAGGAATTTGATAGGAAGTGTAACACTTTACAACATTAAATACACATGATATAATAATTCAATCTTTTGATTTTTATTAAGCATATTACATATAACCAAATATCATATATTCAAATAACACATAGTTATACTATTGTTACAGATTAATAACTATTTTTATAACTTAATTGGTAATTTATACAAATCAGTTAGTAATTTAAATACATCATTATATATTATAAACCATATTAATATGTAGCAATTGTACTTTTCTCAGTGTACTTTGGATATGTAACAGCTTATATAGTTATTGTATTAAATTCTGCTAACAGTGATCCGCTGTTCCTGCTGTCAGTATCCACACTTGCCGCTGCCCCACTACGCCATGCATTCGCCATACATTCCCCATAATTTAAGTTATTACATCGCGTTCCAGACTGTTGATTTCTAATTCTTTTGCTACTTACACGATTTTTACTCTCTACCAATTCTTATTGCATTAAGGATAATGACATTGTTTTTGCTTTCAATATGTAACCACGTATATTGCTCATACGAATGTTATGATAACCCCACCATCATTTGCTCTGCCAACGCAAATAGAACCGTACGAGCATAGCGCAAAGGTGTGCACAAACTGCTTGACTCCCCCGCTACTGCTAGAGTGCACAATCAAAGTCATAATAGCGTAAAATATGACACCTTACAGAAAAAATAATGAGATCGTTTTGATTTTGTTTTCTTCGTCTTAATTTTAACCGAAGTCGATTGTCGCTCACTGGCAGTGGGCTGAACGGGCGCGACGTACTGTTGTGCTGGGTGGAAGGGTAGCGAAATTGTAATTTGATATTATTGAACCCACACTTGCGCATTTAAGCACTCGGATGGGTTCGTTGTAGATGCTATTTCGTATAAAATAAGTGTACAAAAATAAAATGTCAAAATAAATATAAAATAACAAATGAAAAAAACAAAAACAAAAACAAAAATGAAGTTTATTTTACGACTATGCAGCGTGTTGTTTTACATTTTAGCGTTAAAATTTTAATAATAATGAAATGTCAAACATCACTGTAAAGTGCCCTCGGGGAATCATAATTGCATTATGCGCTCCGAGTGAAGCGTCATAAAATTGTCAAATTAACAACCTATTTTGTAGATTTTGTTAAATGGAACTGCAAAACTATTAAAATATTATGACAACTGAGCGTTAATAATATTGAAAGCAAGTATTTTCGCTCCTCTGAATATTTGAGTTTAGAGTTCGAGTTGTCCTACGCTCGAATAACTTCATTCCATACTCGTGTTCTAGCAGTCGAAAATGATTAATTTTTAAACTTTTATTATGACAGATAGACATTTTAATAAAAACATTAAAGAATTTAATTATTGATAAGGAACTTTATATATACTCATATTTAGATTTTTATTTGTCTAAACGGCATGAGAAAGATATTAGCTTTCACTTTGCTGGAGCTGGAGTGGACTTCAAATAGTTGATTTGTCACCAACTGTTATATAGAATTTCTTAATTCCTTTTATTCATACAGATAACCAAACATTTAGCAATTAAATAATAAATAACCAAGCATTAGAATTTGTGTAATCTCCAACTTCACCCTCACTGACAACCTTGCCAACATATTCTTAATTCTGCGTATAAAGTGTGTGGAAATACAATAATCACAAAAAAATTGAAAACCTTACTGTAAGCCTTACCTTAGCCTTACCTAATTGATTTTATATATACCTAAAACGAAATATTCAGATCTTTTAACTGAAAATGGTATCGTAGATGTTTACTTTTAAAGTAAATTAATAAAATTAATTTAAATCAATATTATAAAGCTTAATTTCGAGGTCTATTTGGCATTCAAGTTATTTTAAAGTTATTTTAACAAATGCATTCAACTTCTCTCATTAATGAAATACTGTATTTGAATATTTGATTAATGAGTTGGATTTATCAATATCGTTTTGAAGTTTATGTGTTTGGCAAGTAATAATGATTTGCTTAAAATGGTCGTGATGGCAAAACAATAATCTCTATAATCACAAATTCTGGTTAAGCTTATGCTTATGGTTTAAACATAATCAGCAACTTAGGCTAAACTACTGCTATTGAAACCTACTTCTACTATGGAAGAAGTAAATGTCCAGGTATATTAATAAACTTAATTGATAATTATAAACACTTTTTTATAAAAGATTTAATAATATTTGATTTTTCTATAGGAAAACTATTTTTAAGGCACATAGTAATTGACATTTTTGATTGATAAAACTACCATTTTATCAATCTTCATCGTGATTTTATCAACTGCGGAAAGATCTTTGTCGGCTTCACTCTTAAAAGTCCTTCTACAGGTAATGTGATTATTATTAACAGTGGTATTACAAGCTTTGATATATTTCTTGTATATCACATTTCTTTATATTGTATTATACTAGGTGACCCCACGAACTTCGTACCGCGTAACAGTCAATGAATGTTATATTAAATTTTAGATTCATCAGCGATCGAATTTTGTGCTTGAATACACGTGCAGTGATGTCGTGCCGATCACTTGATGTCTGTCCAGGAAGCAGAATTTGAACAATTTCTTTCCATATTGGATTACACGAACTAATTTTCTTGATAGTTTCCTCACCTGATTTAAAAACAGTAAAATTAGTATCTTAGAAGTAAGACTCACATCTGTATTCTGAATTGAAAACTATGATGTTGATACCCACCATTCAATGGGTTTATCATTTTTATATTGAAGTGATATCCATCATCTTCTTGCCAAAACATCAGTGGGTATTGCAACGTGTCATATGAACGGTGTGTTTCACATTCTTGTTGCAGTTGCACAGTATCGTTACGTGTAAGTACAATATCGCGTGTGTTCAAGTTTTCTCCAACGATCAGGATTGCAACTTCATCTATTGTTGGAGCGTTAAATTTGCGTTCATGTGTTTCTGCTGGTCGTTTATCCGCTCTGATCACAACTTTGTAGTTATCATGTGGCATGCGCTCCAACGCAGTCTTGAACACCCTGACCAATGCATGATGTTCATGAAGTAGTTGCTGCAGATCTTGAAAAATTGCTATTTTCATTGCTGTGTTGATCTCTTGACGCCGTTCAAGTTGTTCCATCATATTGCCCATGAAGTATATTTGGAAGAATTTATGTTGTGCACCTTCAACAGGTTGCAATGATTCAATATGATGGTGAGTCTGGCACTCGCACAAAACAAACATATCAATACTTTCAGCTCATATTTATTTATTATATTTAAATTTATTATAATTGAAATTTGAAATATTTGAAAAGGAAATTTAAAAAGAAATCAATATCACTCAAATTGTCGAACTGTCAACAGTTTGAAACAGCATTTACAAATTAATTATTTTTGCTAAAATAAGTGGATTTTTCCAATATTTTATAATATATTTTGCTATTCGGAGCGGAGACGATTCCAACAAATCAAAGATAATTAAAATCGGTCCAGCCGTTCTTGAGTTATAAGTGGTCTAACTAACACGACTTTCTTTTATGGATATAGATTATATTGCTTGTATTGTATGAAATTTCAGATATTGGAAAACATACCAATCTTTTTGAAAAGAAGGCATTATTACAATAACTTATCTTAATATTTATATTTTAGTATAAAAGCAGCGTTTCAAGCCAAGACTGAATTGTAAACCCGAACTTAACGGAAAATAATACGGATATTTATGTACGGCTAATTTTGATCAAGCACCGTACATAATGGTTCCTTCTCCGAAAAGTTTTTAGTTGCCAGAACTTAAACCGTTGTGATTGTTGTGATCAAACAAGAAAATATCCAGATCAAACCTCTGACTCAAAATATTAGACCGTTAAATAAAAGAAGACTTCTGGTAGAAGTTTCGACGCATCTTGTTGAGCTAAGCATGATAATATTAAGAATTAGGGTTGTTATTAATTTTAAATATAAAAATCATATTTTCTAAAAATGATCAGAAAGACTTCAATTTGGATGTGAACTTTATTATTTTTTGTGTAAATTTTTGTGTAAAAGTAGAAAATAAATCGTTTCTAAGAAGCTTGCGTCATTTACATCTACTATAAATTTTGTTTTACAAAAAGGTGTATGATCCATGTATAAATAGAAAAAAAACTCATTCTCTTGCCTCTAGTTTTCTTCATCAACACAAATTCTATTTAATTTTTATTCGTCTCATGAGTTTTGGGATATATGTACTCTAATATTCAAAAATATGGTTTTAGAAAATTTTTAATATAATATATATAAACCACTTACGCCCAACAGTCACCTACTACTTAATTGGATAGTCATCAGTGTTCTGAGCTGTAAATTTTTCCTCGTAATCTGAATCGTCTCCTATATCTGCCCAGTATACCATCTTACTTGAGTTATTGCCTTTACCTTTACCTCTCTTGTCTTGTTTTCGCTTCTTTATTCCTGTCTTAGGCCTTGATGAAGTCTTTTTTCCAGATTTACGTACAGCGGTTTTACGCTTGTTACTTACTGGTTTCTTTATGCGCTTACGTTCAAGCTTGTCCATACGCTTTTTTTTTGGTCTTCCTCGTTTAGTCACTGCTTGACGTTTTGCTCTTTTTTGGCGACCACCTTTCGGACCATTAGTAATTGCTTCAGTATTGCTACGAGAGAAGTTATCGAATTTAGTTGTTCAAAATGTTTAAAAACTTACCACGAAACCGCCTCATTTGCATTAGATGCCGGGTCAGCTGAAAAAATATTACCCATTTTTGTTACAGAACTTGAGGGTACTTCAGGCAATTAATAATTTTTGAACTTAATTATTTCTGTTGACGTAACAGAACAATAAAATATCTACAACACAAATATATAGAATAAATTTGAGATCTGAATGCAATTTTTTTAAAAGAATAATAATTATTTTTCTTAACAGGGCCTACTACGAAAATAAAACATAAAATAAACTTTTGCTCTACGTAATGAAACTCTTGAGCTTTGACTTGAATTTAAATACTACATATCGTATGTATAATAAAAGCATTCTAATTCTCAATAAAACTCATTGCAATATCATATCTGTGGAATTGTTTTGAAGACACTCGGCTATAGTCTAATTAATGAGTTGGTTGGTTGTGCAGAACCTTTTATGCGACAGCTCGTCGCTTTAGGGAATGATGTATGTTGTTCTTATATTGTCTTCAATTAAAAATAAAAATTGATAACACCATAGTTTAACAAACATTTATGTTGCCATTAGGTACAAATTAGCTTTTGCATATTTTTAAAAAGTTCTTCGCCACCAAATCTGGACAACCTTATTTTTAAGCAGTATAATAGGTGTTACTACTAAATCATAATCGGCGGGCGAAGATATTACTTTATCGTCAACTATTAAAAATTACAAATGAGACTTTGTACCACTTCAGCCAATATTAAATAGCTTCGAAAATCTGTGTCTCAAAATATTGAGCGAACCTTGATTAACTATAAGCACGCTAATATTTTTGTTCTTATACGAATCAAACCTGGGTTTGTTAGATTTTTGATCTTTAGATACCATTTTCAAATAAATTGCATAGCACCCAACGACATTCTTCTTCCTACACTTTTCGGCTGAAAAGACACATCTGTTCGCTTCTCATTTCTTAATAGCGATATTTTCGTCGTTCACCGCAGAGTTCCGTGAAGTGCCGCGCTTATTTCTATGGCACCATCACAACTTTTCTACTTGTATCAAATGCTTTTTTATCAACGATTGGTTTTTCTGCAGCTGTACGTATAGACCATGCTAGGTGGTTCCACTGTGTGAGTTATTCTGCACCTGTACATATAAACCATACTAGGTGGTTCCACTGTGTGTTGTGTGTGCGAATCTGACATCGGATTATTGCTTTATCGCATGGCAGTTTTAGAATTATTATAAAATTCTACATTATAATTATTATTTATGATTTATGACATAATTATAAAATTATATCATAATTTTAAAGTATTGATAAGAGTAAGATAATAAGAGTATTGAATAGCTGTCGTACATTTGGTAGGCAATTCCACTCTTTCATCTTATTTATTTTTATTTTATGTCTTTTACCTGTGTTTGCAATTAGCTATCAAACATCTATATAGATGTACTTTCTCTTTAAGGATTTCGGATATTTCCAATAAATATTTAAATATCATTTGCAGAGATCATCAATACTATAAAATAAACTGACGCTTTATTTTATTAAGCTTATTGTACGATTGCTCATATGATGGATTCGTAGCCAGAGACAACCTATAAAGAGTCCATGACGAGACTTTTTTAATTCAACACGCACAGATGATTGCTTCTACCCGGAGGGTTACGTAAAAACTGTATGCTTACTTTAGGTAAGTACTGAAATGGTTTATGATTGCATTTAGTTAGTAACATCTTATCAAATTGTTTGGCTTATAAGCTTACACAGAAATAAATTTCTATTTTTTTAATAAGAAAGAAGAAAAAGACACAGCTATAAAAATACTGAATTTAACGGAATTAAACAAGATATATTTTCTTGTAATGTTTCTGTACATTCATACATCAAACTATTGGAATATGTATTATTAATGGATAAAACACAAAATATCATTTTAAAACTAATATATGTAAACTTCAACCATTTTATTTGCTATAACTTTCGAAATAATTTAGTAACTTTGAAGTCTTAATTTTGTTGAATCTCACGAAGTAAATAAATTTCATTTCTGACTATAGGTTAGATTATACCGGCGACCCCAGGGGGATCCAGCTGGGCCCACGGGTGCATTGTGCCACCGTATTACTGAAAATCTTATAATGTTGTTTAGAGGGAGGCCCCCCAAAATTTAAGGCAACGCCGCGCATGTCCCGGACAGAAACAAAGCAGGTATGAGGCACTTTCGTCATCCTCACCACCACTGCGACAAAAATAGTTGAATGGGAGATTCAGTCTCTGCGATAAAAATAGTTGAATGGGAGATTCAGTCTCCTAGCATGATGACCTAGAATACAATAATCTGTTAATAAATCTACTACAATATCTCTACGGGGCATCTCTAGAGAGATTTCGATTTTCTATTATTGGTCTGTGGCCACATTACAAACAGATACCTGCATATCGCAGAGTCTTCCCATCTTTTGTTAAAAACTTTGGCACGGGAAGAACTCAATACCAATTTGCATGATGTCAACGATATGCCCAGACTGTTTAGGTGTTCCGAGTGATTTCCTGAAGCACCCCGTCTGGCTAGCTCCTCTGCTTTGCAATTTCCGAAAATATCCCTAAGACCAGGAACCCAAATTAGAGAAATATTGAACTGCGTCGACATCTCTTTTAGAGATGTATAGACAAAGACAGTCAAAGACAGTCCTAGATGTAAGCAGCTTGACTATCCGATAGTATATATATTCCTTTCAAGTATATTATTTACTTCTAGACACGCTAAAGCTTTCTTTATGGTAATTACTTCCGCGTGAAAAATACTACAGTGATCTGGAAGCCTATAATAGGAGAATATATTTAGCGCCCCTGAGAAAACTCCACTGCCTACGCCGCTCCCAGTCTTTGAACCATCGGTAAAACGTTCTAGACCCTTCTCATCAAACTTCCCTGGATGAGAATGTAACAATAAATTTCCTATCAAAGTCGAGATTCGGAGGGGTATAGTCAATGTTATTTGGAGTAGGACAGAAAAGTTTTAGAATGGAGCCGTGCCCATGGTCACTAGCCCTCTATTGTGATGTGCCCTTCAATCTTAGGGCAGATGATGCTGCCAACTGCTTACTAAATATGTCAAGTGGCATTAAGTGGACCATTAGATCTAATGCCATAGATGGCATTGTACACAGAGCACCACTAATGTAGAGTTCAGGCGTGAGATGAATCCTGTTAAGTACAGTTCAATTCGAAGATTTATCCAAGGCAAATTTCAGACTATACTTACTATGATTATTAAATATTTTATCATCTAAAAAGGTAAACCTATAAGTCAACCTAAAAGAGAAATATTTTTTCCAATCACACTGTATTATACAGTTTTGAAACTGGCTTTAATATTTAATAATGTATAAATAACTACATAATCAGTTTTATTATCAGAAAATCGAATTTAGGACAATTTTTTTTCTAAATCTATGTTAGTACTCTAAACGTGGTTTTGATGACCCAATTTAAGATACTTTTAAATTTTAATGTAAGATAATATTATATTATTGTTTTGAATGCCATACTTATTGAATTAATTTTACTGAGAAAGGATGATCTTCATGCTTAAAAGAATGATACTTTTGGTTTCCCAGCGACTTACGTCCTTGATAATCTCTATCGCAATACTGAGACTCCCAAACCCTTCTATACTCTCTCATTGAGGTTGTTTATTATTAAGAAAAGTTGGTTTTTTTTAATTTTATTCAATTTTGGTTGTCGCCCACCTTTTTTATTAATGAACTTTAACAATGAAAAGGAAATTAGAAAACGAATCAATTTGCACTGCACATTGGAGAGAAGCGTTAAACCCCAAAATACCCTCACACACATGTGCGCCAACACATCGGAATTCTAATTAGAATTCCTCGGCATAGTTGGTGTATTCAATTTTATACAGAAACACAATAAGGATAATAAAATTATTTTCACTCTTTTGAAAACTTTTGATTGTGACACCGAGCAACGCCTTCGTAGCCTTCATCAAGATGGCGTGTTGCAATTAATACCTTTCAGCACACATAATTATATTAATGCGATTCGACAAGTGTGTGCGGGGTGTGTGTGCCGCTGTGATGTATAAGTACGTATGCGTGTGGTTTTGTGAATAATGGCAAATTCTAAATTCGAACAGAAAAAAGGAAATAGTAAAAATATTTTTCAGTGAAATTATTGTGCATGAATGAAAACAAATGGCAAATTTCAGAGCATTCAAGCCCTGATAACAGTTCGGTAGGAAAACAACCACCGGGACCAATGTCAGCACCACTTACCGCTACCAACGTAACCAACGGCGGCGTC